AATTTAAAATCTTCCAAGACCTTATCTTTGACACACTATGTTTAGTTTTAAAGGTTGAGATAAACTTGAGGCATACTTTTTTTCCCAAGATCTATCCTGAGTTTTCTAACAGGTAGCATAAGGTAGACACAAAACCATGAGTCAAAACCTCTTGAATTCTCTTCATAGTTTCATTACCAGTTTGTTCTGTAGCCCTGGCCAGTTGAATTACCCCTTTATGTGCAGGTGTTCCTATGCGTAAAATGTAAATAACACTGCTTTTTCACTAACTGATCTCCCAAAGGTATTGTGAAGATTTTCTCATGTTTATAGTACTTCTAAAATTAAAAAATATGCAATAAAAGTACTAAGAATATTATGCTGTTCTTCATTATTCTTAACTGGCAGGTGAGACAGGAAACACAGCTACTGTTGAAAAGAGCCTAGACCCATGAGAAGCTTCCTGAGAAGAGTTACAGCTTTGCAGGCCCAACATCATAATTCTGAATTTAAAAAAACTGAAATAGCAAAATTTCCTTGGTTCTATCTCTCTCCTTTAGAACTATGTAAATCATAGTTCACATGTATTTTCACTACATACACTAACCTACTGAGTTGCAAATAAATAAACCTGAAGAGTAGTTTTTCCTAGCTTTTATTTTTATTGCCTGTTGCACAGCTAAGGTCAAATCTCCTTGCTTTCATGACCTCTGTCTAACACTCATTTCCTTAATAAATAATAAAATGATCCAAATTTAGAATCCTAACTGTTGTTTTAAAAATACTTTGTTGGCATAGTAGGTGACTAGCTGCAAAATTATGGCTCAAGATTTACACATTTCAGTTGTCTAACATATGAAAAATCTTTTCTTGCCCTGACTACACAAGACAAAATCTAGCCTTTGAGGTATTACTCGGACAGGGAAAAAGCAATGAGTATGCACATGGTGGGTATTAAGACACATTTAGTTTGAAACTAGATTCTCATTTATAGTGCTATAGTATCAAACTTACAGTAATGATGTTAATAAAAATTTGCTAATATTTTCTTTCAAAAACAGATATTAAAAATTTGAAGTGCCTGGGGATAATTTTAAAAGAAGTTTTTATCTGATTGATTCTTTAGTGGATAAGAAAACACAAAAGTTTTAAGCAGCATAGTGACTATCTGATCCATGTAATTCAAATTTAGAAAAAAAAACCATAAATCAGGATAGAAGAAACATTGTAAAAAAAATACTTCAGAAATTAGCTGCCATGTAAATTGTTCTTGTAGTTCCTTAGAGTTTCATAAACACAGTAATATACACACTCTCAGTTGTACATAAGCAATACAAAAGCAATTAAAAAAAGATTTTATGTTTTACAATTATAATAATCTTTCCCGAGTGATATTTGAGCAAAGATTAGGATAAATAGTTAGAAGAAACACTATATATACCAAATTACAGACAACTGAATGAAACACCACATTATGTTTTGTTCTGAAAGTCTTCCTAAGCATAACATTTTCCTTTCAAATAACCCTTCTAATGAAGTCTTCAAGTATTTTATATACTCTTGTATTTCTGGAGTTTCCCTGCAATGAACATGACATTTTTCATCCTATGAAAAATGATGTATTCCATCACATGTGTTAAGAGGACACAAGTATCACAGCAACAACTGAGATAGACCTTTGTCACTGAAAAAGCTATTCTTTAAAAGGAAAATAAAAAATATGTCAGTGCCTGATACCTCACTGTACCACTGAGAGTTAGATAGGTATATGTGCCATCACACTTCACAGTGTTCAATAGGTATCGTATCCTGTCCCATCTTCTCCTAACCGTCTCTTCTTATGAAGTGAAGCAAAAAAGATGCAAAAAGAGTTTTCAGAACAAAGGTAACTGAAGAGACTTCCATCATATTTCACAGAGCTTTGGACAAATCAATACCATCATTACTCAAAGATTTCATTGACTATCCTAAGTCAATTCTTTGAAATAGCTATTAGAAAGGAGGTAAGATAAATATCTTAAATCTCCTCAAACAAATAAGTTTCCATACATAACAATCCCACACAATTTTAATACCAGCTGCTTTAGAGAAAAGCATTCTGCTGTCAATCATTTCTTATTTGTGCATCCCATCTTAAATGCTATCACAGCTTTACCTACATCAAAACTGATGGTAAACTTAGTTAGTTATTTGAGGAAAACTGGCCGAAACATGTGTTCACATGCACATCCCAAATAGCCAGGCTATCCTAGCTTAAAATAAAATACCACATTTAATATTCTATGTATACGGAATATGTATATTGCTTATTAAATAACAGTAAAAATAAAGGAAGAATTAAAATATCAAAAGCAATTGTCTACCAGTTTCTAATGTTTCCCATAGAAGGTCTGGCAATTGTTATATTCCATAATTTTAATAGATGCTACCAGCTCAGCCTACCAATTTGCAAGCTCTTATATTTATAGCATCTTAGCATTTTTGCACATGAAACTTCAGTAGTAGACATGAATTACTCATCTTAACAATGATCTTTATTATGATCTCAGTTTAGCCTGGATGAAAAGAAGTCAGAATCAGAATCTGGCTCCCTACATACATGCAAGGAAATTAGAAGGGCAAAAGGAATGGCAAGACAGTGTACTGTCCCCTTAGTCAGAAGAGTTTATAAAGAGTGAAAGATTAAAAAGAAATCATTGCTGAATATTTGCTTTCTAGTTTTTCATCTACTCTGGGTTTTTGATTTTGTTTTGTTTTAAATATAAGCTTTGTTTGAATTCCCCTACAAAGCTAACATACAACCAGAAACAATCCTGTGACATCAAAAAGATACAAAAAGAGAGAAAAAGGAAGAGAAAAGAAAAATGAAAAAATGAGTTTGGGGTTGCGTGTGTGTGCACATGCATACATATGTGTGCGTTTAGGAATAGAGCACATATTTTATTTTAAAATCTACATCCACTGTCATTGTTTTTAATTTTGTGCGTTTCAGTCATTTAAATCACAGCATAGGATGCTTTATAACGCTATTTTTTGAATCATTTAGCCTATTCCTCCAAAAAGAAACATTTGTAATTTAGGATGTTTTCAGCAGTGAAATTCTTCTGCTTTAGAATGAGTTTCTCTGACCTGAATGCTTTCTACCTTTATTTACCCACTGAAGACAAAGAATCCTCAGACCCACACTTTGATTTCCTTTTCTCAGCTTCACATTTCAAGGGCAGGGAAGGTAAGCTGCATTTCCACAAACATAATAGGACCCCTAAGTTTGTGTACTTTCATGCACACAAGAAGCCAGATAAAAGGATAGCTTTCTTCAGCTGCTGACTGGCATTATAAGCGTGTATTTGGGAAATGCACAGCTGATTGAGAGACAGAGCTAATAAACTAAAAATGGCACTAAACATCTAGAGAAATTTAATTTCCTGAACAATCTTCCTGTAACGCTGTAATTGCAGTTTAGCTAAGAAATGATCATAAAAGCTAAAGACTTTATATTACAAAGAAATATCAAAATTATGATTGCTTCTGCTGTTGTGTTCAGTTTTGGTTTGTTTGTTTAAACAGCCTGGCATCTCCGTTCAGCAATCTGTAGGTCTGCTGCTTCCCTGTCGTTCTCAGGATAAATCTTGTTTTGTTCAGTTTTAAAACACATTCCTACTAACCGCATGAGTAAACAGCATAGCCAGGATACAAAGTTATCTCTTAATGCTGAGGAGAGATTCTTACCCGCAGAGAAGTCTCTCACAGAAGAAACCAGTCTCTGAGTATAATAGATAGCCACCCATAGTAACCAGCATGTTTTAGATTTGTTATTTAGTTGAATAATCTTCAAACTCTCTTTCTCTAATATATTTGAATCCAGCCTAGAAAATAATGCAGTCCCCAGAAATTTATAATCACTTAGCTGTTATCATCAGTCAGTTTCTCATTCTGCTTTCTGAGCTTTCTGACCTTCTATCATATCAGGAGCATACTTTTTTTTTCCCAGTCAGTGTTAATATAAGCATTGCACCTATACTTATTTTCCTTCCATATCTCAAAGCACTCTTCTCTCCAGACCCATGGATACAAAACAAAAAAATCAAGATTCCAATCTATCGTCAAAACTTTATTAAATTTCATTTTATTTACCTCTCTAAATAATACATTCATTTATAAACAATCTAAATGTTTATATGCTTTTATGGATGTAGTCAGTGTTTCTATGAGCATCTTTCAAGAACTGGTCTCCCTTATCCCAAAAATAAAGACATCCAAATGGAAATAAGATATGGGAGGTGATATTGGATTTAATGCTAATATTAGCTAGTTTTTGATTATGAATCCTAATGAATACTTATGGGTTTCCTCATGTACTACAAGTCCTACATTATTTTCCTAACTATATAATTCAAAATACAGTATTCTCTCTGAACTTATGTCCAAAAATTTTTAAGTACTGCATTTCAGCTCTCAGTGTGTTCACTTACCTTGTATTTATATATCAGGTTACCAAAATGCTGCACTGCCTTCACCATTTCATACTAAACAATTCATACTAAATTTCATACTGAACAGTTCACATTTTGGAAAATAAGAACAAAAATTAGGATGTAATCAGAAAATTTAAAAACAGTAAAGTTTACTCTAGAAAATATGTATGATAAAAGAAGTCACAGATGCAATATGAAGAAACTATAATGGAAGTCACTATAACCAAATAAGTTCAAACCATTTACATAACTAATAATGTAGATATACAATAGCAGGCTAAATCCTCTCAAGATTCCTTGAAACTCGTTTTGAAACTGTATCATCTAAAAAGAAAAAGCTGTGCATGAAGAAGCTTCTATATTCGTCATCATCATCAGGTTAATCATGCCTCCAGAATCTTTCTTTCAGAATATAAAGAACTAATAATATTCAGAGAAAATATTTTCTAAGGTTTGTTTTACTAGACATGACCAAGAAATTTTCAAGCAGTATTATGAACTTTCAGGCACAAATTTATATACATTTTATTCTTCTTTTTCATTTAGGGGATTTAGAAAAGGAATACATTTCTGTCCTAGAAGCAGCATCTGATGTCCTGCACCTGCCAGTGGGAACGTTGAATCAAGAACAAGTTGCTGTATCTTACCTGTTGGACTCAGCAGCTGTAACAGCAATCAGAGGAGGTATCCTCAGTGGAAGAGTTGTGGGTCTTGGGATAGTCTCAGTATCATTCTTTTTATCCCAGTATGCCTGTTCTAACTGCCTGAAAGCTAGGGGGGGAAGCTGAATGTTACGGGACAGTAACCTCCGCACAAGGTACGGCTCCATTCCTTGGGAAGTGTCCTCATCCTCAGTGTTGTGGTACAGAGCCTCTTCTGAAACCTATGAGGAACACAAAAAATAGGCATCATATGAGAAAATACTTACTAAACTAATTTGATAACTCTTCTAATTCCATTCCATAACCTAGTTTCTTATAAATATTATTTGTACTTTAATGTAATTATTGAGAAAATGAAAAAGAATTACAAAATATAGTAAAGCATGTCAGGGGTTTAAATAATTTGGGGTTTTAAAAACAAAGAAAAAACATTTTTTATGATGAGATTAGCATACTGATATATAAAATATTTATTTATACCTCTACAGGGAAAAAAAGTACTCTGCTTTAGACAAAGTTCTTTACTTCAATATGTGTGCTTACCTAGAAGTTATCTACCTTTCTGAAGAACTGAGGCTCCAAATAGTGATAATAAAATTTAAAAATATTAGTAATCAGAGATTTGCAGCTATAGACCAAAACCAAGAGAAAATTCAACTTAAATATTCTCAGCTGTCCCAACTCCTTTTTTGCTCTTGCTCACAGTAATTTCATGCTAGTAATAAGAGATGAGTATTTAAAACAACCATTGCAGTGCTTAGAAACACTGAATAATTAGAACCTCTGAAGGTCAAGCCCTAATGAAATCTTAAGTTTAATCATTAACAAACGTTAACTCAATTTAATCATTTAAAGCTATAGTAACATTCTCTGGGTCATGGAAGAATGATAGATAATTCAGTAAAGAAAACTCCAACTGATAATGATTTTAGATGGGAGACAATTTGTTCTGAAAGTTTTTGGAACTTTCAGGAAACAGCTAAGCATTGTGAGAGAAAATTCTCAAAAAATTACTTTTCTGAGAGAACTGATATTCTGAAAAGGCTGCTGTAATAATGAGAAAATATTGGCTTTTTCCTCCATGTCCTATACAAAGTCTTTTACCATTACCTGATAAATTACCCAGCACAGATACCAGTATCTGCACCTTTTGCCTTGAATACTTTCCTGTGAAGAAATCCAAGTTCTGACCAAGTCTAAAGATTTTCCACACCTAAATGAAGAATTAAAAAGATAGTGTATATAGCTATATATTATTACACCTCTGTCAAGTCTGAATAGCTTCACAGTCCTAATACAATACTTGAGACTGCTGCACCAAGTATTCACCTTTGCCAAACTGGAGTTCCCATATACATTATGGTATACATAGTATACAAAATAAAGCAAGTTAGACTATGCCCACAATTTACAAGCACACCTCCAGTTATAGTGCAGACATTGCCACTGTTTTGACCCGTTTCCTGAGGACTGATAGTCACCTGAGAGAGAAACTTGCACAGCAATGTTGTTATTCTGTGTGCCCAGGGAGAGCCATTTATGAAACAACTTCTATGATGAGTAATCCTACTGGGTTTGCATAGCCAGGTTCTGGTAGTGGGGAAGCTACAGGGGTGGCTTCTGTAAGAAGATGACAGAAGTTGTTCCCATATCTGACAGAGCCAATGCCGAACAGCTGGAACATAGACCCACTGCCAAGCCCATCAGCAGTGGTGGTAGCGCTTCTGAGGTAACTTGTTTCAGAAAGGGAGGAAAAAAATCTGTGCAATCACAGACAGAGAGACAGTGAGAATACGTGAGAGCAATAGCTGTGCAGTCACCAAGATCAGTGAAGAAAGAGGAGGAGGAGGTCCTCCAGGGGCCAGAGGAGAGACTCCCTTACAGACAATGGTGAAGACCATGGTGAGGGAGGATGTCCCTCTTCAGCCTATTGAAAACCATAGTGGAGTAAATATCCACCTGCAGAGCATAGAGTGCCTCACACCTGAACAGGTGGGTGCATGAAGGGAGGCTGTAACTCCTACTGGAGCAGGCTTCTGGCAGGACTTGTGGCCCCATGAAGAGAGAAGTCCACAATGGAGCAGGTTAGCTGTCAGGACTTGTGACGCCATGGTGCATCCATGCTGGGGCTGCCTGCTCCTGAAGGACTGCATCTTGTGGAAGGGACCCACTCTGGAGAGTTAATGAAGAACTGTGTCCTGTAAGAAGGACTCAGGGTGGAGACCTTTGTGGAGAACATTCCTCTCTGGGAGGGATCACAAAGCTGGAGCAGAAGAGTGTGAGGAGTCCTCCCCAAGCTCAGGAAAGAGCAGCAGAAACAACATGTGATGAACTGCCATCAGTCCCTGTTCCCTATCCTCCTACTCCACTTCGTGAGGAGGAGATAGAAAATTTTTGAGTGAAGTTAAGTCTGGAAAGAAGAGAAGGGTCGTGAAAGATGTTTTAAGATTTAATTTTGTTTTCCTCGTTAATCTGTTCTAATTTGATTTGTAATATATTAAAGTTCCTCAAGTCAAGTCTATTTGCCCTGTTACATGGTAAGTGATCTCTTCCTGGACTTATCTTAACCCATAAGCCCCATCTTACTTCTCTGCCCTGCCCAGTTGAGAAGGGCATGGGTTTAAGCTCTGTCAGGGGAGGTTTAGGTTGGATATTAGAAAGAAGATCTTTACAGAGAGAGTGATCAGGTATTAGAATGGCCTGCCCAGAGAGGTGGTGGATTCACCGTCCCTGGAGGTTTTTAAGATGAGGCTGGATGTGGCACTGAGTGCGATGATCTAGTAATCACAGTGGGGTTGGATCAGGGGTTGGACTTGATGATCTTGAAGGTCTCTTCCAACCCAGTTAATTCTATGATTCTATGATAGAGTGGCTTTTGTGGACACCTGGCTTCCAGCCAAGGTCAACCCCCTACAGTAACATTAATAAGTTCCATTTATGCTTGGACCTTGAGCAGTTGCTGTAAGCAAGCTATTTCTAATTCAATTTTTAATCATTCAATCTAAATTAATAATTTAACTGTTTTTCTTAATCCAGATGCAATGTAGTTAAAGAAATCAAATACTGTAAAATGGTATACATTAATGTGTATACTCTGAGGCAAATCAGCAGTAAAATCAATTACTATGAAAATACAACAAGTATTAATGTGCTATTGTCATCCAGGGAGAAATTTAACTTCATGCTTGTATTTTTAGTCTGTGCATAGTGGATATTTAAGACAGCTGAATAAATTAAAAACAGTAATGAAGTTAATTATAGCTCTACAAGAAATGAAAAAGGTTGATATCAAAGCTAAAAATAATCTCTCATGTGTGGGTATTTGATCCATTTTACCAGTTGAGTTTTTTTTTTTGTTTGTTTTTTTTTTTTTTTTTTGGAAACTCTGAAAATTGTAAAAATCTTTGAATTGTAACCACAGATAATCAGAATGAGATAGCTGACCTGAGAAAATAAATTCACTAGGCACCATCTTCAACTCCTATTCAAAAATTAGAGAGAGAGAGGATTGTGACCTGAAGAAAGCCACAAAGAAATTGAAGAATTCCAACAAAAATATTAATGCCAGGCTTTGGAGAAATGAAGCAATAGGCTCCTAATGTTCATTTTGGTGACCATGAAAATTAAATCCATTTGTGGAAAAACTGGCCACGTACTCTGGTACAAATACACAGGCATCTAAACAAGGAAATGCTCATCATACTGATTTTATCCACCTTGTCAAAACAAAAGAAAAATATGCTTTTTAGTTTTGCCTTATTTTTTTACCATGGTTTTAAGAAGCATTATTTTTACTAAAAGAATTGTAAGGAATTTATACCAGTATTAGATAATGAAATTTTGGGGCAAAAACCATTGTTGTCATTACTACAAAACCGCCAAGAATGACAAGCTTTGGAATGGTGGGTATGTGAGTTGCTACATAAAATGATCTAAGGTCATAACTGTTAATGAAGAGAAAGTAACTCCAAGAAATAGTGCTGCTCCTGACATTTCTTACCTCTCAGAACGTACACAAGAAAAACAACGTTCCTGTAAAATGACTGTTCATTAAATCAGTTAAATGGAACATATTAGGCTCCCTTTTTTTTTACCTAAAAGGTCTGGAAGACTCTCTGTTAATCCCTGCCCTGTAACCAATTAACTGAATGTTAGTACATGACAACCTTTCAGATACCAATTAACTTACTTCAGCTCCTTTTGTCTAGGGCAGACTCTGGGCTGGGACATTTAAAATGTCTTTTTCCTTATTCCATTTCTTTTGCTGATTGGTTAACTTAATGCTTAAGATATCATTTGCTACCCTTCTAATTAGCAACCGTGTTTCTTAGTTCTTATCAGCTCATTAGGAGGCATAGATTTTTGTGCAACAATAAAGGATTGTAACCCAAGGAACAAGAGTCAGCCAGATATCACAAGTTTTCTTATGATACAAAAACAGCCTGAGCGAAGTCAAAAAGTAAAGAGCCCTGACACTGAAATGAAGACTGGTTTTTGTCATCATTTCTCTAGAGACTTCTTGAGAGACTGTCTCAGTTTAAATGAGACACAGGTGTTTTGCTGAGGATGAGTTATAAGGAAGACCCAAACTCCTCCCTCTAAGTAATTGTAGATCCAAAATTAAAAGGCTCCCATTGAGGGGGAAAAAAAGTGTGGAAAAAGGAAAAACAAACAGCCCTTTATGAAAAGATATATGTGTATTGGTAGAAACAACTAAAGAAAACAAGTAAAACAACCAAACAATACTCCTATACCCACAAATAATCCCCTTCAAAACAAACCAATAAAAAAAGAAAAAAGGTAAACAGTTCAGGTCACGCTCTTTGGTGCAATTCTAACTACAATCAACAGGGGGTGCTGTTGGATCACTGGAGATGCAGAGCCTGCAGTGCTTTGTGCTGGTCGGCAGGGGGCACTGTTGGATCTGTGGTCACTGCCATGTGGGGAGACACCCTCCTGGGTGTATTGGAGAAACAGAAAATGGGTTTCCCTCGCGCACACACACTGGGAAAGGGGAGAGAG